CCCCCCCAAATCCCAAGGGCAAACTCTTCCCGTCTCGCTTTCCCCCAGACCGACGCCCAGTGCTTTTTCCTGGAGAGCGCCAAGTGCAGGCTTAACCTGTGAGGACGCATTACTCGCTCCACTGCCTTCCCATGAGGCCTGAGAACTGGCCCTGCAGAGTGCCTCTGCTCATGTCACCTGCCTGATAACGGAGGGTTGGCCTGCGTCTGGATGCACGCCTAAGCAAAATGCTCGTGCGTGTTGTTCCAAGCACCGGTATCAAGGTGAGAACACTCACGAACACACACAGACGCAGCGCACATGCACAACCTCAGTTCTCAAGCTCAGATACTCTCATGTATCATCTTATTCCTGATTTTACGCTGCAATGTTTCTCAGTGGTGCATCGTCCTCTACATTATGGTCAATTATACTTCTCTGTTTCTCTCTTTAAAAAAAAGAGAGAGAGAGACAGGGGTCTCACTATGTTGCCCAGACTAAACTCAAACTCCTGGGCCCAAACAATCCTCTCGCCTCAGCCTCTCACATAGCTCGGACCACAGGCATGCACGACTGCACCCAGTTGTTTCTTTTTTTTTTTTTGAGTTGGAGTCTCACTCTGTCGCCCAGACTGGAGTGCAGTGGCGGCTCCCGGCCACCGCAGCCTCGGCCTGCTGGGCTCCGGCGATCCTTCCGCCTCAGCCTTCTGAGTAGCCGGAATTACAGGCATGCGCCACCACGCCCAGCTGATTTTTTGATTTATTGTAGAGATGAGGTCTCGCTGCCCAGGCGGGTCTCAAACCCGCGGGCTCAGGCAATTCACTCACCTCAGCCTCCCAAAGGCGCGGGATTACAGGCTGAGCCACCGAGCCCGGCCCAGTTGTTTCTTAAGCGGTCACTTATGTGGCTCGGAATTCTGTCTTCGTCCAGAGAAAAAATAGGTTGTACCAAAATACACCAACATGTCATTATATGCTGTAACCTACTTTTAAAAACAAAGACTAAATGCACATCCCATTTCACCTCAAAAGTTTAATTTGTCTCAAAACTACGGACAGCCTTAGAAATAACAAAAACTACTTCAGGGTATTTCTCCAGCAAAAAAGACTGGTCTGCATCGCTATACCCTTTAAAGTTCCTTTACTGGACTTTGGGCTATACATCCGATTTAACTTCTTATCAGTACTTGGGTATTTCAGGCCTACAATTTCCCCTTTATTGAGGATGGGGTGAAGCTCTGTCGGCAGAACTGATGAGGATCCTAGGAGTGGTCTAGCTCAGTTGATGCTTCTGATTGCCAGTTGTGCATTTAACTGAGGAAAGTTGAGGTTCTCGGGGTAGATGAAATATTCAGCCATAGACTGCACCATAAGAAGACTCACAACCCCCAGGCCAAGGATCTCCAGTGAGGCACCCTGGTTTCAAAACCACAGTAAAGCTCCCTTAAAGCTAGGAGTGTTGCCATGCTTGGATCTATTCGATCTTAGCAAGGGCTGAACTATGGGAAGAGGAAAAACATGACATGTGGCAGGCAGAGATGAAATAGGCTCGTTTCCAGCAGCATCATGAGTGGAGGGCTTAGAAAAGTAGTCGTACCCGAGGATTATTTAATAATTAAAAGCAAGCAAATCAAAGGCTCTCCAGGAGCTCAGTAACGACTTCTAATAATGGAACTAAAAGTAGGATTACGCAGGCTTCTTAGAAATATGTTCGCTATCTGAATATCAAGGAGTTTCTCATCTGGTGTCGCGCTCCAAGCCGCCTTCTCCTGTACGAGGTGAATGAGATCCAGGAGAGCCTTCGCCCCCATCCTGCCGCGTGACATTTCTGTCTAACGACTGCATCTTCGGGCCAGAGGACATGAAAAAAGGGAAAGGAAACCTGACCTGCGATTTCCTGGAAGGAACAAAGAGACGGTTAAGCCATAAAGTTAAACTACACCCCAGCTATCTAAATGAGCAGTCCATGGGTATCTTTGATGACAGCCCCACAGACTGGTGCCAAAGGACGCTGGAACAGGAGTGGGAGTTGGGTGGGCGGGCCGTAGGGAATGCTGTCTCCCGGGTCATTAAAAATGGGAGTTTCCCTGCCACTTTTAGGAAGGGTCATTTTAGATTCTGAGGACAAGTTAGAAAGTGAATTCGAAGGATGAAAAGAACAGTCCCCGAAGAACAAAAGGTTGGAAGGGTGGACAAAGGAAGTTAAATGACCAGGGAGTGGCTTGCAGCGAGGGAGAGGGAGTAATTTAGCCTCGATGGACAGTTTGGTGGCAAGAATGCACCAGAAAAAAGACCTATAATTTCACAGGAAAGGCTGGACTGTGAATGAAGAACTGTCCACGAGGGTCAAACAAACACAGCAGACTTTTTGGAGCTATATCAATAGACAGTTTCTGTGTGATGATGTGTAAATTGGCCCTAACTGTGTTTGTAAAAAAATCACCAAGTTTTGCAAGTGTCATCTGCTTTTGCTCAGCTATTTCAATGGTGGGGGGAAAAAAATAACACAATCAAGTATAAGATGATAAGCTGTGTGCATACATCTCGTCACATTCATGCAATGACAGAGCCGAAGACAAAGCTAACATGCCTAGAAATGTGACCGGACACAACAGAAGTGATCCCTTTAGTTCGTGTCCAATCATTATTCAAAGTAAAATCTGACTGTGTAGAGGTTTGCAGCAATTCAGTATTAAGTTTTTGTTTTTAACATTCACTTTCTCTGAGATGCCACAAAACACCCCACAGTGCCACTGTCTGTGAACTGGGTCACCAGGCAGTTCTCCAGGTTCTTTTTTAATAGATCAGCAATCACCAGCAATTTAATTGCAAAGTTGTCTTTCCTTTAAGCACCCACGCTGTTGTCATTTGCATTAATGACTTATATACGCTTTCATCTGAATAACATGAATTATCCAACTGGACACCTAGTGACATGTAGATACCTGTCATTACCATTATCATAGAGACCATCAAATCATGTTTAATGTGATGACATCTATCCTGTGACTCCCAAGAAGAGGCAACAAGACAGTTAGGTTTTTTTGGTAGTTCCTCACTTTGCCATTAATCAAAAGGTCTACCGACTGGTTGTTGTTTTTTTTTCCCTACGCCCGCAACCTGTTTAATATTTTCTTTTTTTTTGAGTTGGACTCTCACTCTTGTCACCCAGGCCGGAGTACAGTGGCACGCTCATGGCTACCACAGCCTCGACCAGCTGGGTTCAGGCAATCCTTCCGCCTCAGCCTTCCAAGTAGCCAGAACTACAGGCGCACACCACCATACCATGTTAATTTTTATTTTTAATCTATTGTAGTGATGAGGTCTTGCCAAGTTGCCCAGGCTGGTCTCGAACCCATTAGTTCAGGCAATCCTCTCACCTCGGCCTCCCGAAGTGTTGGGATTATAGGGGTGAGCCACCATGCCCGGCCAGTTTAATATTTTCATTCTTGGAAGTCTTAAATGAAAAATCAATGTGCTTTCATAAGGAAAGGGCATAATTTTATGCTTACAGAACCCCTGGCACTGATCTACAGGCTATATAACACATTCCTATTCACCAGTTGGAGGCAGGTATATTTCTTATTTGACACATGAGAACACCAGGATAGCTGAATGTATCATATATATTCATGCCTTCATCTCTAGATTCTAGGGTTAGCGCTTTATATGTAGACCAAGGTCTAGGACAAGGAGTTACAGGCCGGGTATGGCGGCTCATGTCT